CACCAAGTACTTCCACCCTCCATAACCACTTGTTTCTCTAAAATGACTCACTGGCGGGTTTCATTTCTTGCTATTGGTCTGTATTCTCAGACCTTAGGGTCCTTATGCTTGCCCATATTCTAACCATCAATTGTTGCATGACTCTGTCCGGCCAGCCATTTTTCCACCAAGATCTTAGACCTCCTGGTTTGACCCAACCTGCTGAGCTTGGCTAAGCCATCTCTGCTATGTACCACTCAGCTAAAGTTATGGCTTGTAAGTTTTAAGGATGTGTGGAACTGCTCATGATGTACTACTATATTTTTAAAAACAGAGGTGTAATCTCAACTGTATACACATAAAAGCACACAGAAATAGTAGTCAACATATATTAAGTGATTCTTCTGGCACCATTCTAAGTGCTTAAGATAAGTCAATTCATTTAATCCCTTTAATAACTCTTTGAGGTAGGTTTTATAATGAACTCCATTGTACAGATGAGGAAACTGAGACAGAGTGGTTGAAACTTGCACACAGGGTCCAACAGCTAGCAAGTATTACAGCCAGGATTTGTACTCAAGCAACCGGGATTCAGAATTTGTGCTTTTAACCAGTATGGGATATTGTCACTAATGGAATAGGTAAGAACCTGGGTTGTAGGTTCAAATATCTGTCACTTGCTAGGCAAAAGCAAGTTACTTCACTTCACTGTGTTTCAGTCTCCACCCCTGCAATAAAAGGTAGCTGTATCTAACAGGGCAGTGGAAATGATGAAGTGAATTAATAATATGTGAAGTGTGTTAAGAACTGCACTTGGCACATAGTAAACACTTAGTGAATGTCAGTTATTATTACCACATCATATATACCTTTACTAGGGAAAAAAAACTGGAAAGATTTACCAAAGTGAATACTTTGAGCCTGATTCCTTATGTGAGTCTGATTCTATTCCCATGTAAGACTATAATGCTGACGTTTTAAAATATTCCCTTAAATGATGGAAGTATTAGTACAGAAATTTTGTAAACTCTTCCTGAATACTGATATAGGCACTGAATATAAGAGGGCCATGATAGAACATAATAATATTATAATAACAATACTGTAATTTAACAATAATTAACATTTATTTATTAGGCATTAATTATGTCTCAGACACTGTTGTTGGTGCTTTACAACAACTGTGTAAGGTAAGTAATATAATTAGTCCCATTTTACAGATTCGGAGAAGGAGGGACAGAGAGGTTTAGTAGCTTGCGCTGGATCACACATCTAATAAATGGTAGAAATGTGAATTCTGGGTACCAAGGGAAGATGTGTGAGATAGGCTCTACCTTCCCTTGATCTTTGTGGCTACCACAGTTCTACTAGGTTTCTGAAACTCTGGCCCAATAAATCAGGAATTGATAGTGAAACTAAATGTGGGATCACTAGCTTCTAATTCATAGCATACTGCCCATCCCTCTTCCCCTTGAATTGCTTCCATATTATTTTTATAATTAAAAAACAGAAGTGCATTTTAAAAAAGACTCAGAGAGGGGTGCCTGGGTGGCTCAGTCGGTTAAGCATCTGCCTTCGTTCGGCTCAGGTCATGATCCCAGAGTCCTGGGATCTAGCCCTGAGTCAGGCTCCCTGCTCAGCGGGGGAGCCTGCTTTCCTTTTCCCTCTCCCTGCTGCTCCCCCTGCTTGTGCATGCGCGCTCTCTTTCTGTCAAATAAATAAATAAAATCTTAAAAAAAAAAACTCAGATTAGGATAATTCTTGACCAGTTACAGATTTAAGTCTAGTCTGATTATAATCACAGATGTTTGCTCTTAGTTCTAAATTTCACCAGAGTACTGATGTAACACTTGTAGGCACCAACTGTTGGTCTAACAAAAAACAATAAAAAAGACATAAAAACACACAAGAAGAAAGGGAAAGAGATATAAAGAGAAAAAAAGGAGGGAAAGAACAAAAAGTGCAAGATATACAGTCACAGTGCACTAGTAATACTCATAGATGATTTTATTAGGTGGCAGTGGTATCTACTCTAATTTAGCTGTCCTCAGACTGCCCTTTTAAGGAACTGACTCCAGAGCTTTACTCACTTGGTCATAACTGAGGCATTAACTAGAATGGAATGACCCAGGATTTGGCTGAATTTATTGACTTTCTTGGCAGAACTTCTGACTGTGTGTTTAGACACATTATTCCAAGTTAGGGCAGATCTGAGTTGGTCGCTGGGTATATCACACGCTAGAAGTAATGACCAGGAGCATTCTCTATAACCAACCCTAAAAAAGGAACTACTAATATGGTCCACTCAAGGTAACATATGATAGAAGTCCTTCACATTCAGTTGTGGAACATATTATTTGTATTTTTGGCAACATATGTATTTTCCCAATGATAATTTGTTTAAGCTAATATTAAAATTTGTTTGCATTCTTTGAAAACTGTCAACAGTAACAAGTGGTGCCAGAAAAAAGGATAAGCTAGCCCAGCAATAAAAACCTAATTACAACATTAGGGAGAATATAAAATAAAATATTAGTATATGAGAGGATCTCATCAAAGCATACATACTATAATATGCAAAAAGAACAGAAAAGGAGATTTACTTTTTTTTGCAATTACCTGCCGGGAAGCATACAAGGAATAAACTGAATTTGTGAGAAAAGAAAGCAAAACAAACATTTGATCCAGTGCTAAATAAATATGGGACTTATTTACTACTAACACAAGGTCATTTTCAAGAACTTTATAATGGATTTAAATAATGGAGGCCCTTTATTACTTATTTCCCACATCTCTATGCTACTTAAAAATTAATCAAACAGTGATCAGTAAAGCACATTGATCTGAAAAAAACTCATTTTCCCTCAAACACAATGTTGAATTCTCTAAATGGTCCTAAACAGCCTGTGTTGAGTGAAAGATAATTGTTTTGGCCAAACCAAATTTGGTTTTGGTAGAGTCAGGAGTTGAGAAAGAATGCAATCTACCACGATGCAGGAGTCAACCTCTTCTGATGGAGGATAGTGAGCCTGTGAGAAACCTCATTCATGACCAGATTATTTTTATTTCTGAGGCATGAAAAACATCTCTTTATTCATTAGCCCCTTATTTTCTCAAATCAATGTATAATTTTATTTTTCTTAAGTAAAGCTGAATAAAGAATTGACCCAAAACCTGTATTTCCCACTTGATACCTCTGAAATACTTAGAGTTTGTGAAATACTAGACACAAAGGCCAAATGATCTAGAGAAGAATTTTTAAAAAGCACTCAAACATTACTTTAGGTCAGTATATTTTACCACAAAAATCTAAATTCAAAATGCTATTCATATAAAGAAAAAAAACCTTCAAAATTTTATCTGACATTTCAGAATGTTGCTTGTAAAATTTGTATAATTGATTTGGCACAGTATATCCTCATAAAATCAAGGCTGGTAATACATGGCACAAGACTAAGAGGCCAACTTTCACCTACTTAATTCTTCCCCAAATCAGGAGATCATTGACTCTCTAATAACCCAGGATTCTGATTACTGTAATATTGGTTTGTAGTAGAATTTGACCTGTACTTAGTTTTGTAAAACTGTATGTGTTAGAAGTTACATTTATACTCTTTCTTTATTCAGTTACTCCTATTACATAGAGATCAACGACCATGCTTTAAAAAGACACTCTTGTGTGATCCTATTAGGCTCTAAATGAGATGTTGGATTTCAAGAGTTTACTTAGCTTGAAAGTAAATAAATTAAACTTGCTTCCTTATGGGATTAAGATGTACCTGAGAGTTCCTCACTACATGGTTATTTTAACATGTTATTCTAACTAGAATCACAATAACCGTGATTTTTAATTTTATCAGATTTCTTCTTATAAAATTAAAGAATTAGAAATTACATTTTTACCAAAAAAATCACATTTTTGCAAATTATGGCTTCCAGCAGAGATCAAATCAGTAAAGAAATCTGTATTAACACGTATTTACATATAAGAGATACGCAAACAAAGAATTCACCCCTAATGTAGTCAAATAATGGCTATCCATAATGTTTGGGTAAATACATGGCAAACAGGCTGTAGGATTTGCCCACTTACCTTTACAGCTGCTCAGTCTAGTAAGACCTTTGCTGCCTTTATCCTATTCTAGGACTGCCCGAGGAGTCTAGGCTGCTTCTTACCCTCTCTAGGACACAGTTTTACAAGCTCAAATCCAGACATTCCGAGAATGAATTCATTTCCTAGGCACTCAGAAAACAGCAAATCTTTGGGGGTAGATACAGAACCATAGTTTCAGAGTAACAAGCTTCCTTAGAACCTTGTTCCATAATGCTGGTGCTTTTCTCCAACCTCCAAGGATAAAAACCCCTTTAGTTTCTTTACCTAGATGTCTCTCTAGTCCCTTCTGTAGACATTATTATAGTATTAATGAGAATGGTATTGTCTAGTCACCTATTAGTTTGTTCTGAAGTTCTCGTAAATTGTAGGTAAAAAGGAAACAGAAACTTGATTAAATGGGTCAGTTCATCTGGGCCCAATCCCCAAATCTTAATGCAAATGCTTTGATTATTTGCTTACTACTTGACTTTTAATCATATATACTGAATAGATTATGTAAGGCAACTTCAAGGATGTCTTCTGTTCTGCCATCCAGCAGGGTTCCAAAACCATTTTCTAACTATAATCAGTTGGTATATAGTCATGAAATTCCAATTTTGTTCACTATTCACTTAAACAAAATATGATTTCTAAGAAAATACATCAAAATGTATTGAGAAAATGCCCCTCAATCCCAAGGAAACATGGCAAGTGTTCCAAATGACTTTAAAGATCTATTGCTTTCTGTTTCCTTCTTTAATATTACACTCTTGATTCATTCAACAACAATCTGCTAAATCTCTGCTAAGACAGAACACTGGAAGCTGAATCCTACCACCTTAAATCATTCATGTAATTGGGAGTACCCCTGACCCTGAAATTGCCTTATGAAGCTCTATTTGAACAGAATGTATTCTGTCCTCTATACCTTATTGTCAGTCCTAATCGTGACTTTCAGTTGTGGTAGTACACGTTCTACTTCGAGACTCCATTCTGCAGCATCTGTTGTGGATTCCAAAATATCTTCTTGTTTGGCAGACTCGTTCATATCCTAAGAAAGGAAAGATATCACAAGATTGAGAGTTTATAAAAAGAAACAGTAAAATTTTGAGGCATTTTAGCAGGACTGCACAATTTATACCAAGCAGGGTAGTGTCAAAATTAGTGGCAGAAGTTCTTCTCTGTCCTCCTAGCCACGTTGCAAGAAAACAAAGCACAAACCTGGTAGAATGGCACAATTAGCATTTTTAAAAAGAAGCAAATATATGATTCAACCGTTTTGACAAAAAACAATGCTTTTGAGATATCAGAGTGAACTCAATGGGAATACTATCAAATGAACAAGCCATTTAGTTATGTTAATTGGTAACAGTAAAGGAGTACACACATTCACACATTTGGTAAGAAAATATTGTCTCAGTTTGAGTTTTCTATGCTGAAATACAAACCCCAAATCTGAAAGACAAAAAAGATAAGATCCCAGAAGCCAAGGGGTCACTACTTAGAAATTTTTTGTTCATAATTAAAGTGATATTTTGGTTAGGTCTAACTATAACATAGCTTTAAAATGTGATTTAACACAGACCTATTTGAACTCAAAAAGGGTGGGGGCCACATTTCTGCATTTGGTTTCTGCTGTTGAGTAATAAAATCAATCCATGCCTGTTTTTCAGTTACAAAAGGAAAACCTTTTTTTGTGTGTGTTTTTTTGTTTTTTCATTTTCTCAGTCTTTCACATTTCGGCATTAAGTATATATGGATCTGAAACTGTAAAGAATATACAAGTTGATGATTTAAAGATAAAGCCTAACACATTAATTTTGGTAGCAATTTTTCCTTTAAGCTTCCTTGATAAATTAAATGTAGAAACATAAAAATTTATTAATATAGAAAAAATGAAACCTGAGAGATACAAACAGCCAAATACATATGTACATGGATTCCAGTTTGAACAAGCAATCTGTAAAAAGATGTTTTTGAGACAATCAGGGAAATTTGAATGTGGAAGAGTATTAGATGATGTACGGAATTACTACTAATGTTATAGGTATTATAATGGCATGACGGTTATGTTTAAAAACAAGGCCTTATAAATTAGAGACAAATACTGAAATATTTACAGGTAAATGGACGTGATGTCTGAAATTTAAGATGCTACAAGGCAAAGGAAAAAGAGGGGGCCTCTAGAGGAAACACGGTTGACAAACTATTAACTGCTGAAGCTGGGTAATGTTACCTAAGAGTTCATTATCTTGTTCTCTCCACTTCTGTTTATGTTTGAAATTTCCCATAATACAAAACTTAAAAATAAAAGATTATATAAAAAGCTCATGGTGAAATTTCATTCTCAGTGTGAATTTATGTCACTAAAAGACGTTTCTATACAAAGGCTTATTAAACTAGTCTTTACAATCCAGTCTAACGCTAAGTATAAGAATAACCTTATATCAGGATTTGTATTTTGGTGGGAGATTGAGGTCTTTAAGGGCTTTAAACTCCCGACTGAGTCTCTAGAACACTGCTGGCATTAGAAAGCCTCTCTCTCCCACCTCCTAGCTCATATTAGCAAGTCCTGAACAGACTCAGAGCCCTAAAAGGAGCATATGTTGCTTTTTGTTCAGAAATTCAGGGGGCTGTCTACGGCCATACCACCCTGAACGCACCCGATCTCATCTGATCTCGGAAGCTAAGCAGGGTCGGGCCTGGTTAGTACTTGGATGGGAGAAATTCAGGGGGCTATATACTTCTACCACACAATTAGAGGATGGATAACTAATACATGCTTTCCCATTTTACAATATATGGTCTGAATTTATTCAGGTATGTTCTACTTAAAAAACCAGAAGTATAAAAAAATAAGCATTAATATAAGTAAAATGTGGAAACTCTAAGTGAAAAATGCTCAAGATTCTGCTTCAAACATTAAGGTGCTCACTTTAATATAGAAACATTGTATTATTTTGAGTACTAACAGAATGCTACATGCATCTATATAAAGTGAATCAGGGTAGCACAAGAGCACCATGGGGGGGGGCAGTATTCACAAAGTAGACACCTGTGAAGTTTTATGAGACAAATGTGACAGCAGGAGAAGCGAGACAGTCTCCCAGTTGAAACCTAAAGCCACAGGGAACGTTTTCTGTTCTGCCACTGAGACAAAGGGGCATGTCCTCTCAGCAGCAATTCTGTATGATTCTTAATAGAACGTAGATGTTCTGGTCCCTGATTTACAAATAAGTTTTGCTTATGGAACCACAATTTGGGTGAACTGAAGTTGGGTACTGCTGATTAAATACCGAAGCCAATTCTCAACTCCATCCCCTCATTCCCATTCCTTCTTTTTCCCTTCCCTACAGGAGGGGGGAGTCCAGAATCACCAAACAAGGCTGGAGAGGGTACTCATCCATAGTCCCACTTTCTTCAGGCCTCAACTCATAGGACTGTTCAAGTTGTACATAACATACTCAAAGATTTTCCTCAAGGAAGGGCACATTTTTCTAATTTTCCCAAAGGCAAATGGGTTAGTAGTGGCCCTATCTGAATCAGACTCAGAATCTAAGAGTTACTAAGGTACATGGAGATCAAACACTGAATTAAGACATCCCAGTTTCATTTATATTGGCCCTTTAGTAAGTAAGAACTCTTCTTAAGTTCTTATTTGGTTCCCTTAAGCAATGATTTGCAAATTCCTACTCCCAATGTCCTAAAGTGATTTAATATAGCAGCTCAAATGTCTTCACTCACTCCTAGGCCACAGTTAATATATTGGGGGGAAATGGCCTCGTTACTAAATGAGGAAGGGCAAAAAGAGAACATTAGGCTTGGTAGAGCAGCATTAACTTATTCAAACTATATAGTCTCTTTCTGTTTCTGTGTTTGCGCTTCTATTTCCTAACTTCGTTCCTCAGTCAAAATTTCCTAACGCCTAATAAGTGGATACATTAACTGAGTGAGCCCTACATATGAAGTAGAAATCACTTTAAAACTGTGTCATGTCTTGGTTATAATAACTTGAGAAAACCTTTCCTTTCCAATTGTACCTCCATTTAATAAATGGTATTTTATGTGGAGATATTAGTAAAAGAGAAATAAACTGCTGTTTCCATTTAATCAAAATTTTATATCAGCATGACAAAATCTCAGTCCCTCTCTGAAACAGCATTAACTAAGATAAAGCATAGCTCCTGGGAAATTGAGTTTTCTAGCTAATGCTGCTGAAGAAACAATTAGAAGCTCAATAAGACACAAGCTATCCAGAAGTCTCATTTATAATTAATTAATTTACCAGTAAGCCATTTGTAAAGCTTCTACAACATGCAAGGTAAGAATCCAGGCACTGTGTTTGGTGTGGGAAGATAAAAGCATTTAATCCCTGCCTGCAAAGAGTATATAGCCTATTAGGGAGAGTCTCAGGCTAGTTTATGGAGGTAATAAATGGACCAAAGGAAAAAAAAATTATGAAAACTGACTCTAAGACTGCCAAAGGAAGAACTGAAGATAGTCTAAACCATCCTATAACATAAACCTAGGCTCAAATAGTGGGGCATACCACCAAAGTCCATTCAAGGAAGTAATCTCCCCTTTTCCAGGTAATACTAATGGGATGGTTAAGCATCTGAAGAAATACTATATTCTGTATATCTGTTTATATATATATAATAAACACATAAAATTGGATGTGTGTGTGTATATAAACATACATAGGTGTGTATATATATATAAAATTGGATGTGGCCAGTCTTATGGTTACAGAGGTAGAATAAGGGAAGGCCTCATATATCAACAAGGGAGGGTAAATAAAGCCCTTTGCAGCCTCTGAGCTGTTGGGTAGCCTACAGAGTGCTGCGAAGCTGTTCTGTCACACTAGGTTAAACGCAGTACAAAATTTGATACATCTTCAAAATATCTTCACCTCTTAATTAACACTGGAGACTCCAGGTAGGCCATGACTACCAGCAGGGGAAGTAATGGATCTGATATTAACAGAGGGAGACTGGCCCATTAACAAGTATATTTTTTAAAATTTACATTCAATTAATTAACATATAGTGTATTATTAGTTTCAGAGGTAGAGTTCAGTGATTCATCAGTCTTATATAACACCCAGTGCTCATTACATCACATGCCCTCCTTAATGTCCATCACCCAGTTACCCCCTTCCTCACCTCCCCTCCAGCAACCTGCAGTTTGTTTCCTATGATTAAGAGTCTCTTATGGTTTATCTCCCTCTCTGATTTCATCTTGTTTTATTTTTCCCTCCCTTCCCTATGATCCTCTGTTTTGTTTCTTAAATTCCACAAATGAGTGAAATCATGTAACTGAATGGATAAAGAAGATGTGGTATATATATATATATATATATATATATATATATATAATGGGGTATTACTCAGCCATCAAAAAATGAAATCTTGCCATTTGCAATGATGTGGATGGAACTAAAGGGTATTAGGCTAAGCGAAATAAGTCAATCAAATAAAAAGACAATTACCATTAACAAGTATTAATACAGAAAACCGTCACAAGTGATACAGTAGAAGCACTGGTCACATTTTTGGTATACCTGATGAAATACTATCTTAAGCAAAGAATTAAAAAAAAAAATCTCTTTGGAGTGAAACTATTTCTAGTATGTAGTACATACTCATTATTGGAAAACTCCATAAGGGAAAGGGGACTAAACATTACTGGACAAAGCAATGTTGACTCTGACTTCCTGATACCAGCAACAGTTACCTATTCATTTCAGTTCTGCTATAATAACAAAAATCTAGTTATTATATTGGGATCTTTTTGATCCCAAGGGTCCAAATCAGGTTGGGCATTTAGCTCTGGTTAAGACATTCCACTGGGAATGAAGAAGAAAGCTAGAAGTAGGGTGAAGTAGAGTTTCTAAAATTTGACTAATCATGGATACCCTACAGTACTTCCCTTACTGCGGGAGAAATACCTTGTCTGGTAAAGGGAACATACATGGCTGCATGGGCAGACCCAAGAGTGAAGTTCAAGGCTCAGGCATCCATGAGAAGATGTTTCCTCAGGAATGGGACC